AGGAAGATGGCCTCATCTGATTTCTCATCAAAAGTGTTCAGATGATTCTTCCCGTTGTTTAACACAAAACACTTGCTCCCAAAAATATGGAAATATGATATATTAGGCTTTCTCCCGTTCCACAATTCATAGGGAGTTTTGTTGTGCCTTTTATAAATCATACTCCTATTTTGAGTATAGCAAGCTGTGTTAACAGCTTCAGCCCAGAACCTCTTTGGAAAAGAAGCTTCGGCTAGCATGGTCCTTACTGCTTCCTTCAAGGTTCTGTTCCTTCTTTCTGCTACACCATTCTGTTGAGGCGTCCTTGCTGCGGATGTCTGATGAAGAATTCCGTTTTCTTCACAGTAATGAATGATGATTTCATTCAGGAATTCTGTGCCTTTGTCAGATCTGATCTTCTGGATGGTCTGACTTGCTTGATTTTGAATCAGCTTCATGCAGTTTGTGAGCTTCCCTTGAGTTTCCTTCTTGCTGTTGAGAAAGATTGTCCACGTGTATCTTGAGTAATCATCAACTACCACCAGGACATATTTCTTTCCACTTAGACTTATTGGAGTAACAGGACCAAATAAGTCCATGTGAACAAGACTTAATATCATTGTAGTTGAGGGTGCCGGTTTTGCCTTGAAAGTGGACTTGACTTGCTTTCCTTTCTGGCAAGCATCACAAATGCTTTCCTTCCTGAATACAGCTTTGGGAAGACCTTCTACTAACCCTTCTTTGGATAGCTTGCTGAGTGTTTTGAAGTTGAGATGACTCAACCTCTTATGCCAAAGCCATAGAAGGTTAGTGTCACCTTTGCTGATTAGGCATGCTTCCTTGACATCGTCCCACATTACTTTATAGATGTTTCTGATTCTCTTCCCAGTGAGAATGACTTCATTTGTGGAGATGTTTTTGAGAGATGTCATGTCCTTGCAGAATTCCAATGAGTAACCTTTATCACAAAACTGACTTATGCTTAGAAGGTTATAGTTGAGACCTTCAACATAAGATACAGCTTGGATGATTGGTCCTTTGTACACCAGATTTCCTAGCCCTTTAGTAAGGCCAAAATCATTGCTTCCTCCAAAAGTAACTCTTGGACCATCATAGGGAATTAGATTGCTCAAAAGACTCGCATCACCCGTCATGTGTCTTGAACAGCCACTGTCTAAGTACCAGACACCTGGGTACTTAGCGGCTTCCTGCATTAGGAGGAGGAAGATTTTTGTACCCAATTCAGTTTGGGTCCGGAATAGTTAATGGTGTGTGTCCCTACATCAAGTTTGTAGTTGCAGGGAATTTTCCTTGCAGCCCTAAACGTGTTGGGATTGTAATCATAATTGTAGGTATAAAATTTCCTACGAACAGGTGGTGTATTTTCCTGTTTCCACCTAGCAAACCTAGGTTGATAAGACCTATAGTTTTGTCTAGGTTGTGCATAGTGTGGCCTGTGTCGGTTGTAAGCATACTTAGGTGGAACAAATAGTTTCTGGGGTGGAGGTTGACTATATCTTGGCATAGTTCTCCACTCAGAATTTCTCGGAAAACTCCTATCTACCCCATAATGAGTATAGCCTCGCGTATAGTGGGGGTTAGAAGGTTTTCTTCTGAAATTATTTCCTCTTTGAGGTCTGTCCAGCTTCCTATAGTTCTTAGGAGGGACTACCTTTTTGGGAACTTCTGTGGGTTTCTCCTTTTCCTTTCCTTTCTGCTTATTGGGTTTGGTAGTAGGTTTAGGAAGAATGAAAGTTGTTCTCCCTTTTCTCTTGGAACTGGAGGGGTCAAACCCAAGTCCTTCACGACCCTTTTGTTTGGTCGCTTCAAGAAGCTTATCCACTACTTCTTTGGACTTAAGTATCCCAAGCTCCTTGTTGAGGGATTTCACCTTTTTAGAGAGAGATTTACTTTCAGTCTTGAGTTGAGTGATCTCATCTAGTTGACTTTTCTGACCTTCAGTCAACTTGAGATTCTCTTCACTCAATAGCTTGTTCTCCTCTGTTAAGGATGAGTGTTTGAGATTTATTTCCTAAAAATCTTTCATCATCTTTTTGAACTTGTCAAAAAGACTTTCAGAAGTTGGTATGCTTTCATTAGAACATGAGCAGGAGGTTTGTGAGGTTACCTCTTGTTCGGCATCATCTTTGACCATAAGGCAGAGAGTGTCATCTTCTGACATGGTCCACCGATCCTCATGGTTGCACTTCTCATCCGAGCTTGAGCTGGATGACTCGTCACTTTCAGCTGCAACCATTGCTTTCTTCTTCTTTTCGTTCCTTTCTCTTTCTCCGTACTTCTCCACCTTTGGGTACGGGCACGCTGACTTCCAATGACCAGGTTTCCTGCAGTTATAACATAAATAGGATTCAGGAGGGGAGTCACTTACCTGTGGCTTTCCCTTGGATGGCCTTCTGACTAAGTCAGCTTTCTTGAAGAACTTCTTGAACTTCCGGAATTGTTTGACCATCATGGAAAATTCCTCATCATAGTTCTCCATTTTTTAGCTTGACGGCTGGCTGGAGGAAGGTGTGTCACAGTTCCTTGGGCATGTCCCTTCACTCGGTGGGACTCTGGGAGTTGTCATCAATGCCGTGGGGAAGGGAGTGACTTGTTCTTCCTTCTTCTTCATCAGCTCATGCTCATAGGTTCTGAGCTCATCAAGGAGACCTTGGACAGTGTAGTTCTCCAGGTTTCTTCCTTCTTCCATGGCTGTGGCTTTGGTGTACCACTCAGTTGGAAGAGATCTCAGTAACCTTACATTTTTTTCTTTGGGAGAAAGAATGTGGTTAAGTGATGCAAGATCATTTAAGATTTTGTTGAATCTTTCATCCAACATATCAAATGATTCTCCGGGAAGCATTTTGAAGCTTTTGAACTTTTCAAGCAGGACTTCTATCTTCTGCTTTCTCAGGTCCTCCGATCCCTCACACAGCTTCCCAAGACCTTGCCAAATCTCCATGGCAGTCTTGAGATACTTGATCTTGGAGAAGGTGATGGGATCAAGTGTCTTGAAGATGGCTGCTTTGGCGACGTTGTCCAGATTGTGCTTCTTGCAATCTCTATCATCCCATTTCTCCTTGGGCTTTGGAATGTACTGGACAACATCAGGATTGGCTGGATTCCTCTCAGGGTTCTCCATTTGGATTTTCAAGGGTCCATCCTCAAGCACCATCCACATGCAATCATGTAGGGCGTAAAGGTGTGCTTCCATCATGATCTTCCAATCATCATAACCTAGAAGAGAGAAGTTGGGCAAACCGTGATCCATTATGATCGCTTCTCGTTAATCTAAATGTAGATAGTGAGAAGGCTGCTCTGATACCAATTGGTGGTCCCAAAGTGGTGAGATACAAAGTCTAGAGGGGGGGGGGGTGAATAGACTTTGTTACAATTTTAAAACTTTTTCGTTTCTTTTGAAAACGTGAAAATAGTGTAAATCTAGAGTTCTTGGGAACTTAAAATTGTGTGCGGAATTTGGTGGGTAGTATGAGCAGTAATCAATATGGATGGGTTAGCTTTCACAGTTAATATAATTGCAAGTAAGAGTAAAGATAAAAGAGAGAGACACGCAAACTTTAACGAGGTTCGAAGGTGGGGTAGTCCTTCTACGTCCTCAAAATCCACTATGTAGTTGGTTGCTGAATAATGAACCAACAATTACACTTGTGTGAATTTCTGCACGGTATATCTTCGCAAGGCCAAAGTTGCTACTGCACTCGTGCTGGCTTTGTTGTTCCTTCGAAGGTAACGCTTCTTCAACAACTGCAAGATCCGAACAATAGGACCTGCAAGATCAACTTGTGAGAAAGTTGATCTACCCCCTTTTAATCAAGAAGTTTGATCAAAAGTTATATCCTTCAACGTGGTGTGGTACTTGAGGCAAGGAAACCTTCAAGTGTTTACACTATAGCTCTTTGGAAGGAGGAGAAGTTTGCTTCTAGATAAGGAGTTTTAGAAATCTCTCTTTATCAAGCTTTTTGGGCTAACTGTGAATGAGATAGCTTTGTTTTTAGAGATTGCTTCGTTGTGTTTTTCTATCTCGTTATTTCTTCTCCAGTCTTCCAAGGTTGCTATTTATAGCTGGATTGGATAATCTATCCGTTGAATCAAAGTAGACTATCCGTTGCATTTGCTGGCTTCAATTTTGAATGAAGATTGTGATTGAGGATTCCTCATTGGAGTGGGTGTTTGGACATACCCAATTGTTTGAGGAGGGATTCTTTTTTCCACAGAATCCGTCTTCTAGCTGTTGTTCAAGAATTCTGGACTGTAGCACTTTACTCAGTTTGTCTTCTAGTGCTTGTTTAGGAATTCTGGACGAGCTCTTTAATTTGAGGGGTCCAGACTTTGTCTTCAAGTCATTTGTTCTTGAATCAGCTTAATTATCTTCAATCTAGCCGTTGAAAATTAAAAGATTGATTTTTCCTTACCAACGGGTAGAATTTCTTCATTCAAGACTTAGAATTTTTCTAAGTCTTTTCTCACTTGTCCGCTTCTGAGAGTTCTGGTCTTTTCTTGAGGCATCCGGTTCTTTCGCTGACAAATCCGGAAGAGTCATTCACAGACTTCCGGGTGAGAAAGAGATCCGCGCTAGTCTTCCGATTTGAATGACTTAGCCTTCAGCGGGTTGTAGCGAGACATCCGATTATCATGTAGTCTTCCGGAATAGAGTATCTTCATCTGCTTTGAGAAATCCTTACTTGTCTCTGACATTTCCGATCAAGATATCCAATTTCCATATCACAGAATTTGATTAAGTCTTCAAGCATCAAACCACTTAAAGAAATATCACAACTTTATTGGAAATCTCAAGAACTCGGTTTTAACAATATTTCTAAAAAGAAAAATTACATTGAATATTGGGGGAGGCCTAAAGTCCCTATTACAATCTAAATACATCATCATCAAAATCTATAATATTTTCCCAACATGTAACGCCCCAAAACCTGACTTAGTATTTTAATTAATTTAAAAAAATCTAAATTATTATAGAGCCGGTTAATATGAAGATTATTTTCTAATTTGCCTTAATGAATGAGGGTTAGTCCTACATTGTAGAGCTCGTTGCTCTGAACCTAATCGCGCAAACAGATCGTGAATCAGACTTACTGGGCCCAAGATGCGGCTAACGAATCAGTAAGCTGGGCTCAAACTTATCTCAATTGGACTAGGAAGTGAAAAATTGACATTAAAACATGTTTAATTATAAAAGGATGTGCCAGGACTTAGTGGGACATACATTTTTTTTCTCAATCCGTTGTCCTTCCCGCAGCGCCAGGGCGACGGCCGTCTCCATCTCTCTCTCTCTCGTTCGTCCGCTCCTCCTGCTCTGTTCGCCGATCGGAGATGCCGTCGAGGATCGCCAATCGCCGCCATCCATCTCTCTCTCTCTGTTGCTGTTCGTTTGGTCGCTGAAACAGGGACGCTGTCCGCTCGTCTCCGTCGATCAGGGCCGCAGCGCCGCCGTGACTCGCCGTCCACACCAGCGGTTCCAACTGACGTCCCTGTCCCGTCCCTCCATCGCGCATAGCAGGCCCGCGAAACAAGGGGAAAATTGCAGCGGCCTGTTTCTTTTGATTCAAGTTGAATTCGTCTATTTTCGAGGTGATTTGTGGTTTCTATACCTTCCGTTAGCGTTAATTCATAGATTAGAACTTCCTTAACGTATAATTTAGTAATTGATTGTGATCGAATTTGATTGTTAATTGATGAATTTGGTTGGGTTTGAAGAAATTAGGGGTTGAACACCACCGGATTTCAAGGAGACGCCGGCGGCGGATGTCGGCAGTCCGGTCAAGGCTCCGACAGTGGCTTAGGTTGGTTGTGTGGGATCCAACTGGGTCCAATTAGTTCCCATTGGATTCAATTTGGGTCTAATTGGGTTCAATCGGGTCTGTTCGGGTGCAATTGGGTGTAATCGGGACTGTTTGGACTCAAATTGATGCAATTGGGGCTGTTTGGGATTGTTCGGGTTGCTGTGAATCACCCAATATGGCTGTTTGGTCGGACCACGGGCTCGGGCAGCTGGGTCGGCTACTGGCGGTGGTGTCGGGGTTGGTTTGGTGACAATGGGACTGCTCCGGCGGGGGCAGCGGGCTTGAGGATCGATTCCTTGGGCTCGATTCCGCGCATGTAAGTTGGGTTAATTGTAATTTGGGTTTGTTGATTATGCATGACGGTAGTCGTGGGTCTTCGACCCGGATATTTCGCTACGTGATTTGTTGTGAATTGTGAACTGAGATTTTAATTAAACTGATCTTATTGGTGAATATTTTGGATTACGAATAATATATGAGAAATAGGCGACCTAGTATAATTAGGTGGACTTTAATTGGATTGACTGATTGAATCACCAATAGGATGTGGTTAGGAAATTGGCCATTGCGGGGCGTGGTCGCACCCCCGGTGGTCTTGGGTTAAAAACGTACGTACGAAAGTCCGCGACCTGTCCTGGCATCGTAGGGACAGGGGCTTCAACCCGCCCAAAGTGAATCTCCTTTGGGTTTCTGAGCTGGCCCTTTTATAGCATCGCTTGAGGTGCCATGACTCAAAGCTAGTTGATATGAAATAAAATAATGATATGATGTTCAAATGGAAGGTGTTAATATAAATATATTTATTTAAGCTGTTTTTCTCCGTGACCACATGTTGTTGTTTAATTGTATGTTAACGTGGTGTTATTCTGTGAGTTAATGCTGGTTTAAGTATATTTTCACTCAGCGTTTCGCTGAGCGTGTAGTCATTGTTGTTTGACTGCACGCAGGTAGAAACACGGGTTTGGATGGGCAACCCGGAGGGCAGTGAAGTGGCGTGGATGGCTCCCGTTTTCTTTTAATAATTGAACAATATTTTATTTTATTAAATAGACTGTTAGATAATACGTAGTATTTGGTTTTTCTTATGCTTCCGTGACGTTTGGACTTGTTTTATTACTCCGATTAATTTTGGTTTAGCTTTAAACCCTTTGGATGAATTTTTGCAATTTATTTAATTGTTTAATTTAAAAAAATCATGGATACGAATACCAACTTAGCAACAACCCGGTTTGCTAACCCACTGGTTCGGATTACACGGGTTGTGGTGTTACAGTTTAAGTTTGAAAGAAAGCAATCATAATTGGGTTGAAGCCCAATCCATCATCAACAAAAAGAACTGGCCCATTCCTCCTTTGTCTTTTGATTCGCACAAGGTAAAAGAAAAAATGAAGTCTACGGTGACTTCTTCCTCTTCGTAGATCGCAGCGACTAATCAAGCACGTCCCAACGTCTCTCCGCCAATCTCGTCGAAACGCTCCAACGGGAAGAAATTGAAAGTCCAAAGCTCCTATAAATTGAAGAGAATCGACACTCATGGAGAGGGGGAATCGGACGAGAGTGAGAGAGATCCGCGGCTTAGGCCACGGCAGTGGTGGAATCCGGCGATGATGTCCGGCGATGGTGGAAAGCTCCGGCAATAGCGCTGGCAGTCTTCAACATAGCTCTAATTCATCAATTTCATTATCTTCTTCAACAAATTGGTAACTCTATATTTTTCAATTTCTTTTTCTTCTCCAATTTCTTTGTAAAAGTGTTGCTTCATTTTAATTTTTACATTTTTTTTCCTTGTTTGCATTAATTTTGAAAATTCTAAAAAAATATGGTTGGTGTTCTTTTATGGTTTTTTTAATGTTTATATTAATTCCCTTATAAATGAGAATTGATTCGTATTAGTTTTCTTCAATTTTTGTGCAAATTGATGTTAAATTGGCACTACAAGAGATGTAGTCTTTAACTGCACTTAAATTTGTTGTTCGCCGCATATATAAGTGCGGGGGCTTTTTTTGCCACACAAGAGGTAAGTGTGCCGAACAGCAGTCTGGGGAAATATTTTCCGCACTTCTAATAAGTGCGGCTAATGAACATACTAGCCACACTTATAAGTGTGGTTAATGTTTAATATTGTCACACATATATGTGTTGCTACAACGCCACACTTACAAATGCAGGGAAAAACATTCCATCGTAAACAATTAAGGGCTTGTATCTACACTTATATATGCGGCAAACTACAACCATGCAAATAACTTTTAAATTTCAACTAATATTGTCGGTAATTTTGGTTATTTTTTGCATATGTATTTAAAAAAAACTAATTTCTTCATAAAATGGGAAAAAGCCCCATATTATATATGTACACTCTTACAAATATAAATAAGTAAAAAGGAGTTTATTATATTAAAATAGTGTATTAAAAGGGGAGGACCGAACTAAAGCCCCTCGAAAAGATATACAAATTACACCAAGCAAACTTAGAACCAAATCTAATCGAAAATTAACTATGACTGCAAATGTGCCTTGACCTTCAATGTAATGTCCTAAACCAACAATAGAATTAAAGCTAAACACAAAAGACATATTCTGCATTGTATTCTTAAGCCAAAAATCAATGACCAAAACAAAGAATCTTAACTCCAAACTTCATTAAACTGTGACCTAATGCCAATAGTTGCTCCAAACATACTGTTGCAATTGTCAGCGTTGTCATAGATGAAGAAAAATGTACAGAGTAGTGTTGCCAAAATTGCCTCAACTCCAAGGTATTGCAGTGGGTCTTGTTTTGTTATATTTAGAACCAAAATAAAGTCACTAGTCCCAAATTGTGCTACACCATAGAATACCGCTTCTTGGAGTACTCCAAACCTCACCTGCCCGCACATAAAGAAAGAAAAAAAGAACTCTAGTCAGGTTGAAGTTGCACCAGAATCCAGATATGCACGCACAGTACACAATACACAATACACACCCACACACTTTTCTATGGGAAGAGCACTCTAATGCTTTATAAGTTTATATGATTAATACTTAACCATAAACGTAAATGAGTATTTCTTTTTAAGGAAAAAAGCAGGTTGTTTATGTGGATCATGAACCCTACACATGTTTTTGAAAAAAATTAGTTATTGTTTGACTAAATTTAGATATGTAACATGTCTGTGTCTTTTTGTATAAGATATTACACTAAAAAGTAGTTTCATACTTTACTTTCTGGACAAAGACACTTTGACACTAGAATCTCTTTTTAAGACTGGTGTACATTATATGATTATATCTACATACCTGATAACCCATTTCAAGAAGTGAAGATATAATTAGCTGAAATGGATTCATATTATCAAATGAAACGAGATTCCTGGCGTTTTCAATGAGCAGAAACTTGGGCCTGAAGTAATCAACAAAGGATAAAGCGACAAGATCATTATGCATCAACATCACTCACTGAACTCTTATTGTGCCTGTCAATAAAGAAAACCCCTGCAGACAAAGAGAAGCTCAGATGGATTTTTTAAAATCATTGCTCCGTAGCAATTAAATAGTGAACTTTACTATCAATGGCAAAGGAATATATATCATACCTGACAAGGAGGGCTGGAGGACAAGCAATGATGAAATCCACTTCACTTGGCCGGGGCAAAGTGTTGATTGTGTTGCGGTCAAGATGTGATGCTAACGGATTTGCCTCGTCAGATACAGTCACTAACATCCTAATTTGCCATCATGATATCCCTGCACCATTAGGAGGGTGTTGTCAAACTGAACAATTGTGTGTGTTTACTTTAGAGTCTGAATAAGGAGATGAGAAGTTCATTATAAAGCAAGTTTCTGTTGGAAATTTTAAAGTAAATTGGACATTTTCGGACATAAATTCGGTAGGGTCCACAAAATTATTTTCCAAAGTAATTATGGACGATTAATTTCGTAAGTAAGACGAACGTCTTGACATATGACATGTCATAAACGGTGCTCGGGTGAATGAGAAATTAATTCTCAAAGTTGAATACTAAGGTAGAGTAAATGCCTTTGTCCCACACCGGTTTCTAAACCTTTCGTATTCTCATATTTAAGCTTAGGCATTGAATTGATCTTATGAAAGGAACAAGAAGAGGACTCCTCGCGCACCTGCCGCCGCCGTCCGTCCGGCTAGGCACGCGCGCGCGGTGGGACGCGGCGCGGCCTCGTCTGCGGCGGGGCGGGGCTAACTTTTTACGAGATCGAATTAAACGCGTGTACACGAAGTGTACGGGGTAAAGGCATGCATGCACTACGTATGAAGAGTCATTCGACTCTTCGTAATATCCGACAAGTCCAGCGAAGGGTCCAATTGTTCTCCTATAAATGGAGGTCTCGGCTGCAGGGAATAGACCACTCAATTCGAAAATCTCTCTCTGCGTTATAACTTTCCGACCATCTCCCATTTCCGATCACCTTCTCCGGCTATAACTCCCGTCGTTCTCGTTCGCCGGTGCTCTGTTCTACCGCTCTAGACTTAGCACGTTGCGGTTTTATCCTGGGAGGAGATTGCCCACGTTTGCCAGTGCGGGAGGCGGGCAATACTACCTTAAGGAAAGCTTCGGCGACTCTACTTTCCTTACCTACGTTTCTAGAAACATCTCCGGCGACCCATTGTTCTCCGTCCGAAGAAAAGTCCGTTAGAGCTCCCGAAGACTCCAAATTTTATTTTTCTTTTTTTTATTTTGTTGTAAAATCCGAACGTTTTATAAGTTCGGATTATTTTATTTTTATTTTCCCCGCTGTAATCTTCATCAATCTTAAGGTAGTAATATGGAATTCGGATTCGGCATCGCGAGTTCCTCCAGCAGCGGAATGAGTTCCGAAGTTCCGGTCGAAACCACCTCGGTCGCCATGGTTGTGCCTTCCTCATCGCTGCCCTTCGGGTCAAGTGTGGGGGCCGCCACCATGACCTCCTTCTCGATGCCGAGCTCGATCTTTGGGTCGGCCCCTCGACCCATACCTGGGCTCGAAACCACGGGGGATAACCCCGTCGGCAATTCGAACCCGTTTCTCGGACCGACTATGGCTTCGGCCTCGACGGTCAACTTTGGACCGAACACGGGTTTCCCCGCACCGGTCAATCCTTTTGTTGGACCTCATTGGGCGAGCAACGGGCCTTTCTTCCATACGCCCAATGCAGTTGGGGCTATCTCAGTGCCCGCTAGCTTGGTCCGAAGGCCACCGAAGTTCAATGGCACGAACTTCAAAATGTGGCAACAAAAGATGATGTTCTTTTTGACCGTCCTGGGATTTGCTGAGTACCTGCAACAAGATCCCCCCCAGCCCAATGAAGCCAACGACCCCCTTGTGGCGATGGTGAACCAAGCATGGTACCACAACAACTATCTCGCCATCAATATTATTCTTGAAGGGCTGGGAGATACGTTGTACCCCGTCTATGCCGGTGCCAAGCTTGCAAAAGAGCTTTGGAATAGCTTGAACAAGAAGTATCAAGCTGAAGATGCCGGCACGAAGAAGTTCATCGTCGGGAAGATGCTGGACTACAAGATGGTCGACAGCAAATCTGTTGTCGCCCAAGCTGAAGAGCTTACGGTTATCTTCAATAAATGCAATGAAGAGAAAGTAGGCGTCAGCGAGGCCTTCCAAGTGGCGGCCATCATCCACAAACTTCCCCGGTCGTGGGAAGACTTCCAAGCCGACCTCAAGCTCAAAAGAACGGAGCTAAACCTGGAGCAACAGCTCACGCGGTTGAGAATCAGAGAGGAGGGGCTTGCCAGAAGAGGTGGAGGGGCAAAGGCGAATGTGGTAGAACATCCGTCGGGCTCTTCACATGGCGGGAAGGACAAGAAAAAATGGGTCCTAAGGGTGGTGTTTCAAAATTTGCAGGGAAATGCTACAATTGTGGCATTATCGGGCATCGTTCCTCCGACTGTAGGAAAAAGAAGCCACAGAAAAACAAGAAGAAAACCACCGAAGCTATGTGTGCAGAGCTCGAAAACCTGGACCTCTGCGCATTCGTCACCGAGGTGAATCTCGTCGGGTCAAACCCGAGGGAATGGTTTGTGGACACAGGGGCCACACATCATATTTGCTCCAACCGGAGCATGTTTCACGAATTTCAAGAGACCTCCGGTGACAAAGTCTGGATGGGCAACTCGGCCCAATCCGAGGTTCAAGGAGTTGGAAAGATTAAGCTAAAAATGATTTCCGGCAAGGAGCTAACGCTTAACGACGTGCTCTATGTGCCAGACATTCGCAAGAATTTAGTGTTGGGGTCATTGTTGATCAAACACGGCTTTCGGATGGTGTTTGAATCAGATAAGCTAATCTTATCCAAGAAAGGGATTTTTATTGGGAAGGGTTACATTTCTGATGGGCTTGTCAAGCTTAATGTAATGACTGTTCATGAAAAGATCAATAAAAATCATGTTGCTTATGTGTGTGAGTCTTCTAGTTTATGGCATGTTAGAATAAGTGACCAACGCTAGAGGGGGGTGAATAGCGTTTGATCGTAAAAATTGCAGGAATAAAAAATTAAGAACGTGAAAAGTAAAGAGCGTAGAAAGCGTAAAGGGAGCACACCAAGATTTATACTGGTTCACCACAACGTGTGGCTAATCCAGTCTCCCGAGAGACTCTCTCGAGCTACACTACTTTCGTTAAGCTTACGGGTGCTTAACAAACCGTTACAATCTGAGAACTCGAGTCCCACGAGCCTCAACAACACTTGCTCGAAGATACCGCACTCCAAGACTTCAATCCGAAGGAAAATACCTTTCCTTCATACAACCAAGGGAAACAAGCTTCCCTTAACGTGTATACAACACTAAGACACTCAAGAACAAGGCTCTCTTTTAGAGTAGATGTTGAGTAAACTATATACGCTCAAGAACAACTCAAACTTCACAAATTGGCTCTAGAAAGCTATGAAAAATGATGTTGTTTGAATGCAATGATAATATGAATATTGTGAAGTGAATTGATGTGTAAAGCAGACCCAAACACCCCTTTTTATAGTGCCAAAATAGGCTCCAACGGACCAATACATTAAAGGGGTGATTGGCTTGATTTATGGGATTGAATAAATTTGGGATCTGCAGGATATTGGCTTCCCATCGATGTTTAGACTCACTCATCGCTGGTAAGCCAAATTTCCTTCAGTTTTGAAGCCAACGTTCACCTACCCATCGATGGGTAAATGCTTCCCATTGCTGGGTGGGAGGTTGACTTTCAAACAAGGAAAGAATCACCCTTAAATGACTCACAACGGTCATGCCTAACCAGCCATGGGTATGCCCTCCCATCGCTGGGTTCCCATCGATGGGTAAAGGTTCCCATGCATGGGTAAGGGCATTCTGCCTTGCGAAAATGTTGGACCAAGGCTTAAACAGCGATGGGTAGAACTTCCCATCGCTGTTTGGCATGGTTTTTATCAAATGACAAAAAACGAAAGGTGGTTTTTGAAATGTTTTTGATGGAAAACTATTTAAATGTGCCCAGAAGTGAAAATCAATCATAAAAAGTTGAAAACCACTTGGTTAGTTCGGACGCCAAAAACCAACGCCGAAAACCGAATGCCGAACGCCGGTTTCTGAAACCTGAACGCCAGATGGCTTGGTTTTTGGTTTGGGCGAACACCAAGTGTTTTTAATGTTTTAAACATGTTTTAAAAACATTTTTATGATGTGAAATGCAATGAAAAGAATTTTAGCCTAAAGAGCCAAGGTGTAAAGATTGGGTCGGTCTTGATCACAATTGTGACCGACTCAACGACACTAAGACTACAGTCTTCGTTCTTGGTCTTCTTTTGGACCTTGTTCTCTTTCTTCTCATCTTTGGTTCTCGCCTTGTATATTCAATGACTTGTCTCGTTCACGGCGGTTTGGCATTATCAAAACCTGTCATAACAACGAACACGGCTTTAGTACGAAAACGTGATAAACCCGTGTTTCAACAATTTCCCCCTTTTTGATAATGTCAAACAAGACGGGGTTATGCATAGGAGGATTGATTTGAGACTTAAAAAATGTTCCCCCTTAATAAATGCAATTTAGAAATAGTTCCCCCTCAATCTATGCATAACCTTTATATCTTCCCCCTTTTGACATTAACAAAAAGAATTAAAAGTAAACTTTTATTCATTTAAAAGGGAAATGCAGAATACAACGGATAAAAATACAATCATATTTAATAAGGAGAAAATAAAGAAGATGTCGTGGCGTCGGTGTTGGCCTTCTTCTTTGAAGTCTCGGTTTTGGTCCTTGACTTTCCTCTAGCCATTGTTGAAGCGTTTAGAAAGTGAGTAGAGGCTTAAAGTATGCAAGAGGAATGTGAGTTGTGTGTTAAAAATGATCAAGGATGGTTAATATTTATAGGAAAAGAGAATTTGGGCCCTTGGTGTTAAAAAATATGGCTGTTAGGCATTGAATGAGGTGCCCAACGGCTATGATTTTTGAACTGCAACAGGCTTCCCAGCGATGGTAAGGTTCTCCCATTGATGGGAAGACAGGTACTGGAAAGGGAGGAAAAAAGTGAAGGCAGCCTTCCCAGCGATGGTAAGGTTCTTCCATCCATGGGAAGACAGCTACTGGAAATCCGTTAAAAAAAATTTTAAAAAAAAAGTGTCAAACACCCAGCGATGGGAAGAAGTTCCCATCGATGGGAAGAGGGCTGCTGGTTAGAAAATACTTCCTTCCCAGCGATGGGATAAACCACCCATCGCTGGTTCCCCCTGAGTTCCTCACTTTGATACGTATCTGCAAAAAAAACAACACTTTGGTACCCAAAGTATGTCTATGGGTCCTTGGGGGTTAGTTAACCTTTATTGCCCACACACACACCCAAAATTCGTTTCCTAACGCGCGCGCACACACACGATTAGATGATCGTTTAGGAGTTACCTTGGCCAGCCCATGGGTTCCAGTCTACCTGAACGGAGTGCCGATATCTTGGTGTGATTTGTGTTGGTTCCGGTAACGGAATGTGGACTTTCTTCTTTTCGTCAAAGTAGAAGAAATAGTATGGTTTCTTTTGTGCATTGTCCTGTGGAGATTGTTTATGATACGAATATCCTTTTCCACAGGATTTCTTTTCGTTAGCACTAAACATGTTGTGTGTTTCATTATAGGTGAAGTGCCTATGTCTGGTAAAACACACGAGAGCTATATGTCCTACCCTATTGCAATAATGGAATACTACGTTTTGGTTGAACATATGCCTAGGTTGATAATAGCTAGGGGGCCTAACCATGTTTGTCCTATTTTGAGAAAAGGATGGTTTATGCATGTTTTCAAAAGGATCATTTCTAGGTGTTCTCATATTGTCTCTTCTATTTGTTGGACAATGTGCTATCATGAATATGTATTTTTGCAATGTCCTTTGCCCATTGTCTTTTAGGTTTTGATAATGACAAAAGGGTGACAAAACATCATCATCATTTTGTCCATCAAGGCTAAGAATCAAATCTACAACAAGTTCATATCCGTCCGTGAAGAAGGGACTTGAGCATCGGTGGGAGGAACGAGACCGAAGAGGTTGTTTCCTTAGTTGGGTAGTGTTTTAGGTCCTAGATTATGTGTTAAAGAGTATGGCATATCTAAGGTTCATTCCCTTATCATCTTACCTTTAAAACTCATTTTAGATCAGCCTTTGTGTGGGGAAGTTGCCTTTCTATTCGAATAATCTTTAGTTTATTCAAATAAGTCGTGATCTTTCCTGTTGCTGAAATCAACCTGATTTATTCGAATAAATCACCACTTATTCGAATAAGTCCTGGCTTTTCACCCTGATTTATTCGAATAAATTGTTATTTATTCGAATAGGAACTGGTTTTTTCAAGCCACGCGATTGATCCAAACTATTCGAATAGTTCTTGAGTTATTCGAATAAGTCGACAGTTTCAACTACCAAACGGCTAGTTTTTTGAATCCTTTTCATCCCTATCCACTCCCAACTTCTATAAACTATCTACTTTCGAGATTATCTTCAGTAGAACACTTAGAACACTTTGAAGAACATATCATTTGAATATCCAAAGAGATTCTACTCAATTCCCTCCTTATATCCAAGCAAGGCAATTGTTTTGATTGCTAAATCATTTCTTGCTTGAGTTTTTCCTCATTGCTTGAGTCTTTGAGAGATATTGCCATATTCTAAAGGACTTCATTGTATTTGCAACAATCTACTCCGTGTTGGGAGAATTACTCGGTTGCGGTTTGTTTTCTTACTTTANAAATCAAACGTTAGGTGGAAGAAATCCTGAGTTTTGTGAAATCAAAACTTCGGTGGTAAGATAAGAGGCTTGTGAAATCAAGTTCTCGAGTTGTATTCGGATTGTCAAACTCCGTTAAGTTTGACGGGTTAGTGAAGGCCTGGGCACGATTGCTTCGGGGACTGGATGTAGGCATTTAGGCCGAACCAGTATATATCGTGTGTGCATTGCTCTTATCCTTCACTTTATTTTGTTTGTGGTGCATTGTTTTTGTTGAATATTCGTGAAGAACGTTTCCGCACAAAAAAACCGGTCTTTTGGGCAACACCTCTATTCACCCCCCCTCTAGAGGTGTGCGAGACGTCTAACACTATTTTGAGAAAAAATATTTTTATGCACAAAAACATTTTGATAATTTTTCTTAGGTTGTCTACCATGAACGTTTTCATTCCTAGGTTTTTGTCTAGGTTGTCTAGTGTTCTTAGATTGACTAGGTTTTCTATTTACTTAATTTTTAGCTTTCTTACGTTGAGCCTTAGGAGGTTGTCTAGGTGTTTGCTCAACGTTTTCTTTATTCTTAGCTTCATTTATATTAAAACCTATTCCTTCTTTAGAAAAATGCATGGTGTCAAGGAGTAAATTAAGATCTTTGTGTGGAGTATTAAATTTCTTAACCGTACTCTCAAGTTTTGTCACTTGTTGCTTTAAAGCTTTACAAGATTCACATTCGTTTGAGGAACTTTCCGGTTTGTCAGCGCTTCTTTTGCCATAAGATTTATTTTCTTGTTTCAACTTCTCATTATCTTTTTCTAGCTTTTCAAAATCATTTTCAAGAGTAGAAAGGCATTTCTTTAATGATTTTTTGATTTTAGAAGCGCTAACAAATTCATCATAAAGTTCGAGAAGTGCTTCTTGCATTTCTTCAAAAGTGTAAGAGTCGGAAGAAATGGTACATACCTCTTGTACATTGTCAGTTTGGTTTTCGTGTACCATGAGACAGAGGTTGGTAGCTTCATCCTCGTCTTGGTCGGTTGACTCGTCGCCGGAGTCGCCACCCCAAGAGATATATGCCCTTTGCTTTTTGAAGTGGCGAGTGTTCCTTCCGTTTCTCGGGCATTTGTTCCTGATGTTCCCGGCTTCACCACATCCATAGCACACATGGCCATCCTCAACCTTTTCTTTCTTTCTTAGAAGTTTGCAAAACTTCTTCATGACAAGCTTGACTTCATCATCATCGCTTGAGTCATTCATTGTCGGTTCTTTGGAGGCTTTTAATGTTATGCCTTTTCTCTGGTCATTCAAAGACGGGTTAAGTATAGTAGATTCATACGTTTTTAAGTTACCTCTTAAACCGTCGATGGTGACATTTGATGTGCCGATTGACTCATAGATGACATCGGCCTTAGATCGCCATTCGGATGTCAAGCTCCGTATGATCTTTCGCACAAGATCCCTGTCGGTGTAGGTCTTCTTCAAAGCATGAAGATCGTTGACTATCTTGGAGAATCGGTCGAACATGTCGTCGATGTTTTCGTGCTCCTTCATTCTAAACATCTCATACTCTTGGGTGAGGAAGTCGATCTTGGCTTCACGTACTTGGTTCGTTCCTTCGTACGTCACCTCAAGTTTATCCCACATCTCCTTGGCGGTTGAGCAGCAAGAGATTTTGCGGTAGTCATCAGGATTTACGGCACAATAAAGCATGTTTATTGCCTTTGCATAATTCTCGACCTTTTTGATGTCCTCCGCATCAAATTCATCTTCGGTCTTGGGGATCAATTTGTCCTCGACTTTCTTCATCGGCACCTCTTCCC